AGACAGTTCGGATCTCCCAAGCTCTGCCTGTCCAGGCACTATTAAAGACAGGAGGCAGAGGATGGGACTCAGTGTGACCCCTGGTCACCTGGGGGAATGGGAACCAGAACACCCAAAAGAATCCACAATGACAAACTCTCAAAATTAATGGATAATTTTTGGATACGTTTTTTAATTTGAAATTCAAAGAGGTATTGATGGGATTAAAGCTCATTTTTGTTTAATTCTGTGCTGCAGCCGTAACAAAGGACCTATCAGGAGCCCTCGTGGTTATATAATATCAGGAATTATAGAGATATCGGGTGAATTACACAGATCTCAGGAGCCCTGATGAAAGCAGGTCTGTCTCTGCTGGCCATGGCACACTCACCATGGCAGGCCAGAGACATTTCAAGGCTGGGATTTCTTTTTGTTCACCCTGAGCATTGCAAGTACACATTTTTCCTGTGGGATGAATCCAAGGTGTGATCCTGACTGCTCCTACAAAAGGCAGAAACTCAGGAGTTAATTGTGGGGCCAACAGAACTTGTTTCCAGCCCTGTAGCAAACTGGTTTTGCCCCTTCTGCCTGCCAGTGCCCAGTACCTGAGCTGACATCCAGGCAGGGATGACAGAGGAGGCAGAAGGGGAAGGAGAGGGATCAAAACCTCTTCATACCATAGGGAAGCTGCCCTCATCCCCACTGCCTGCTGCAAACCTGGTGAGCCAGGAGAGCTGCCACTTGTAGCATCTTCTCCAAGTGGAGGTGCCTGGAGGGCAGAGGGAGGGAAGAGACTCTCTGTGCCCAGTGCCAGCTCTTCATTCCCTTGCCTGACTGCTTCTGGGCTGCTGGAAACATGGGAGTGCCTGTCTTCACAAGCAGAGGGGAAGGTGTGTAGGACAGTGGTGGTAGATAGGCAGAGAAAAAGAGGCAGGGCATGAGGCTCCTGTCTGCTTTCTGTGTGCCCTTCTACTTCCATTTTCACATACTTCATGTTGTTCATGGCTTCATCAGCTGCAAAAAGAGGGTAAAATTGGGCAAAGCAAGCACAGAACAGCCAGTCTGAGACTCTGCTCAGAGGTGTTCAGGATTGTCCCTCCAGTGACTGCAGAGAGCATGTGGCCAGTGGCAGGAGGGGCTGTGGAATGCTGATGTTCCCCTGGAAATTCTGCAGGACAAAATCACTTTGAGACTAAAAAGCACAGAAGGCATTTTTGGCACCGACAAAGTGATGGGATTGTTGGGGTGTCTGTGCAGGGCCAGGGGTTGGACATGATGATCCTTGTGGATCTTTTCCAGCTCGGGAGATTCCATGATTCTCTGATTCTAACTTCTAGACGTGCTTTGGTGTGTGAGGTGAAAGGCTTTCTGTTGATGGTGGAGTGTGGGGACACCTCCCATGCCAATCATTTGTGCAGGCAGGAGGCTCAGGATCTGCCAAGCTTTCAAAAAGTGAACACACACAGAACTGTGATATTGGTGAGGAGCACAGTAGGGAAGTGACTGATGAGAGATGTCACCTCTGCCGGTGTTTAGGTGTCAGATTGTGTCTGAGATACTTGTGTGAGGTTGGCAACATGACATGGGCCCTGCTGAGGTGCACTCCTGTCTCAGGTGGCACCTGGAGCCCCAGGATGTCTCAAATAGCACCAGACACTTGTGTTCTGGGGACCTGAAATTCTCTGGTTTACCAGAGGACTGGGAGTGGGAGGGTCTGGTGTTCTGCTGCCCCACTCTCAGTGTGCCCTGTTCTCACCAGTGTTTCAGGGGGATCTTGTAACTGGGCCCTTCTAGACTCAGCTGGGTTGATCAGTGCCAAATCAGTTTAAAGTGTTGTCTCAAATATGCCAGAAGTCTGTGTGCTTATTTGGCCTTCCTGCTATGAAACTCCTCCTATGGAGCAGAACAGGGTGACACTGCACAGCTCTTGTTTGGGGCACTGACTGGAATCAGTATTGGACAGGGATAAAGCACATTGGTTCATTTGGGACTGCCAGTGTCATAATAACTGTGAGGTTGGAGAAAGGGAATGGTTAGAAATGGGATTTTCATTTTTACTGACCTTGAGCCAAAGGGTCTTTTGCTGCTAAATCCCAAACAATTCTGTGCTGAAGTCTGCACAGGGAAACTGTCCCTTAGCTTCTCAAATATCAAAATCTTAAACCCTTCCAAAACTTTGCTCAGAAAAATGCTGCTGTTTGTAGAGGTGTCACATGTTCCTTGGGTGCTCCTTGGGAGCAGGGGCCCACCAGGCAGCCCTCTTGCATGGGATGAGGGGAAATAGCCTCAAGTTGTACCAGGGAAGGTCTAGCATTAGAAAAAAAATTTTCACAGAAAGAGTTGTAAAGCTTTGGCACAGCTGCCCAGGGCAGTGTGGAGTTACCATCCCTGGAGGTGTTCAAAAAACATGTGGATGTGGCAGTTGAGGACATGGTTTAGTGGTGAACGTGGTGCTGGTTGATGGTTGGACTGGATGATCTTAAATGTCTTTTCCAACCTTAACGATTCCATGATTCTCTGATTCTGTACTGGGTGGAACCACTCTGGCCTTCACTTTGGCCTGTGGGGTTTCAGAGAAGGGGACGGGGATACAGGGATACGCCACTCAGAAAAGTGGCCCTTGTTTTCCCTCAGGCCCCTGTTTTGCAGCTCTTCAGCCTGCTCTGGACTTCCATGGGAATGCTGAGATGAATCCTGGAGCCAGCTGTTCCCCTGTTCAGCGTGGGGAGAGCCTGCAGCTGATCTCTCTCCTCCTCCAGCTGGGTCAGTGAGATAACTTACTTATTTTAAATTTTCTGACCATGGAAATCAAGCACTGTGCCAGCTCATTCTCTGGGTGCCCAGGGGTGAGATGCTGGTAATTCCTAGGAAATCTATAGCTCCAGTTCCACTGCAGTTCCAGGGTTGTTCTGCTGCTTACAGACAATATTCTGAAATCTCCCCCAATAGAAGGCAGAAGGTTAAAGTGTCCTCCTTTCTGTGCAGTAAATTGGAAAAACTTGGACAATTCCTGCTTTTTAATAGGTGTAAATTACCTTACACTGCAGCAAGGAGTTGATGTAATCTTACTTATTTAACCAATTAATTTATAAATGGCAGTGGCTGATGGCAAGATCCTTTCTGTATAGGACCATTTTGACCTCAACTGAAACACAACTACCTCTGGAATAAAATGCAATAACTGCTACACTCAGGGAGAGGATTTTTAAGGGGAATTTAAAGAGCAGAATGTAATTATTTTTCCAAAGGTTTAGGGAAACTTTTCAATTGACTCAAGATTGTTTTGAGGTCGGCAGCATCCCCATGGTGTGAGGAACTGAATATCCACAGGGAATGAAGCAATCTGTGCAATGCAAATGGGAATGATGCTCGGGAGGTGGTTAAG